CAGGTGTTATAAAAATAACGCAGACTTATAGGAAATTCGTAAACTTATTTAGAGCTTTCGCACTGTTGCGATGATGTATTTTTGCCACATCTTTATGGATACAAATCATCTTAAAATACTTTTTTAGATTAAGAGTTTCTACATACTGTAGACGTCCGAATTAATTATTTACCCATTCGAGAGACTGTCCTGCCTCATCCATATTATAGTTCGAGTCTTATTTCTTCCAATTATCATCTTTTCTATTCTTCGAAACACAATTCGCGTCAGAGAGAAATAAGGACGTGTCATTACAAAGAAGTTAGTCATACGAGTTAGTTGCGATAGAGATCTAAAAAGACTACGAAATTTTACAGGGTCTCACATTTTAGTGGGTAAAGCCACAGATTTGAAAAATAGTCTATGTTTAAAATGTTTTGTTAGCAGAAAAATCAAGTAACAATGAGAAATTATTGATCTTTTAAAACAATTATAAATGAGAAAAGAAAAACCTGTATTATTTTCTAACAAATCTCAGTATCTTTAATTTAAAGGATGATGATCTCTGCTTAAATTCCAAATATTTAAACGGATACAAATTGCAGAATGTTGCAGAAAATTGCAGAATGTTATTACATATTGATTAAAAAACAGTCAATTAGCTAATCAATATAATTTTTTTACGATTTTATCTGAAACAGTTGACATATTTTGAAAATTTTTTATCAAAATGAGTGCTCTTTGAATTTGCATAAGTAAGTGGTTGTACTTCAATAAAATTGACAGCGACTTCTTCAAGTCCTCAAAACAAACAAGTTTTCATGCTTAGTTATTTTTTCCGAACAATTAAACATGTCAAATAAAAGACAAATACTCAACTAATCCTTAACGCATAAATTTATCTAACAAATGTACTGTATCTATATTAAATAAAATTCGTTATTATTATATTAAAATAATAGTAAGATATAATAATAATAAATAACTTTTCACCTAAAAAGCAAGGAAAGTAGAAAGGAAGATCTGGAGTTAAAAGTTCAAAAATTAAATACATTTCTAATAAACATAAACTTTTGCTCATAAACAAATGGTGATTATTATTGTCATTATTGAATACTTCTTTCCAGAAAATGTGTAGGAGGAAGAATTGATACAATTAGCGATTACTAACAATAAAATTGTATTTTTCCTAAATCGTTTCAACACAATCAATATTGATTTTGTGTGATGCAGTACCGCAACACATGGGCGATTTGCCAAGGAAGGTGCCTCCCAGGAGGATTCAGACCAATCTGAAAATAACATCGTTGTGTTCAAACTAAATGGTTTTTTAAAATAGTTATAACAGGTTAAAAGTTTAAAAACAATATTTTTATTGTGGAACTAACTAACATGGAGCCAAAATATTCTAGAATCTCTAACGTTAATCAATGCTCCAGCAAAAGTATCCAAGAATTTTCGCGTTTTTTTGCCTTTATCAGATAAATCAAAGATTATAAAATTATAAAAATAATTTACAGATTTAACATGGAAATTTTTTTTTAAAACAATGTTCTAATAACCATGACAAAAGCGACAATTTTGACTCACTTCAAACATAACGAACTTTAGAAGCAAAAAGTCCCAACCAGAAGGCTCAATAAAAACAAGCTAAATGCAGGTTTAGTTTAAAAATGATCCGATGACCGAAAAGACTCAATATTTAATTAAACACGCGACTTAATAACAAATTTTAAAAAACAATCACAATTTATAATCGAACAATCCACACTCTAAAGAGAAGTTAATTCACCAGAATAGTCTAATATAGTACACCCATTAAGAAAAATGAGATCATGTCCAATTAACCACTATAAAATATTTTACTAACATTGTCAATTTTCGGGTGTCTCGATCGTCTCTCATCTAAGATATTTGGTGACTATATTCGAATTAGAATCAAATTCTTTACTGATAAAAACATTAAAATCGTCTATAGCGATTACGCCGTCAAACATAGGAGACCAAGTAACGAAAATTATAGAAAACAAACCAAGAAACTGTTTATGAGAAGGGTTAACATAAATAATAAGCAATAGATTTTTAAAAAGCCGAAAACAACTGCTTGGATTAAACTTATTATCATTATACCAGAGTGGGTTTCTGAGTCCAAAATGCTTTTTTACTATCGCATTGAAAAAAAAGACTATTATAAGGCATAACCAGACCTTACGATATTCTTTTTGCCAGATTCATATAAAATTTTTTAATTTTCATCGATTAACAAAAACTACAAAGAAATTTTTTCAGAAGAAATTAATCAAGCCCATAAGTAATGCATCTAGACTAATAGACCAAATATTCATCAACATCAAACACTTTTCACGAATAATTCCAACAAGACAAGGACATCGATCGACCACTTAACCAACACCTCTTTTTCGAGATTTTGCTCAAACTTGGTAGATCTGGTAAGCCAAACAAGTGAGAATAAAACTTTTAAATAAAAAAGAGGAAAGTTCAATAAGCCGATTGCCTAAGATCAAAAAAGTATCTCTCTTCACGTTAACAAATAGATCATCAAATAGAAACACTCGTCTATTCGCTATACAATAATCATTTAAATATATATCCAAGATCCTATAGTGAGTTAGCAGATAAATCCGATGCCGAATGATGCATTTTTCGTTTAATAATTTGTTGGATTTTCATTTTGTATTTATGAAGTAAATAATTTCTTATTTTTCACGATGACAATTCAATACGATAAAACTTACTTTCCCCCGGAATGTAAAACAAGAAACATATTTTAACTAAATAAATCACAAGCATCCCATTCTTCGATTTCATCATAACTGCAGCTAAGGTTGACTAGAAATAATGCCGCAACGATGAAATGATATCATCTGCATCAAACACATATACACCCAAATGTATGAATATATATACGTTTGATCATTTAAATAGTTTACATATATATATATATATATAAACTATTTAAATAATCATAATCAAACTTGGCTGAGTCTTTCTCATAAACGAATAGCCTACTCTTTCACTGAATTTTTCTTCTCCTTCATCTAATTAAACTTATTTTTAAGAATGTACCAGTTCATTAATACTTCAAATCATAATTCTAGATTCGTATAATGTTCTAAACAGGCTGAATATTCTATAAAATCCGGTTAAATATAGGTCAAGTTTACTTTAAAGATTTTTAAGTAGTTTACATATTTGAAATGTCCTGTTGTCAGAGCATTTTTTTTTTACTTATTTTTATTTAATTTATGATTCTCTATTTAGAATACATTTAGTACATTTCAAATAAATTTGACTTATAACTGTAAATAATTTCTATATTCTGTAAACAGAATTTGTTAGTCATAATGAAAATCAAACAAACTGCATTCAAGAAATAAAATTTTCTAATTTAGAGATTAACAATGAAAATAAAACCAATTGGAAATTATCAATCTGATCAAAAACACAAATATAATTACATTGTTAAATATTGTACATGTACATAATTAAATAATTTAAAAAATAAATTAACATTAACAATTGTAAGATTTAAATTACTCTTGCATTTAAATTGTATCATATTAGAATGTGAAGAAATGGAGATTTGATAGTGTTTAGTAGAATATAGGTCTACGAATTATTCTACTTTGTACTTATTTATTTATATTTTTGAACTAATAAAATTAATTTAAACATAAGACAGAGTAAATATGAGATATAGCCAGAAGTTAACTATTTTTCTCTTATTAGTGAAAATTTGTGAAGAAATTTAAAAATTATGAATATGTAACTAAATGTCATATCTGTGTACTCTAAATATTTTATATATAGAGTATAAATGATCTTAGGGATTCGAGTCCTTATTTTAAAACACCAGTTATACTTTCATCTTTAATCATTATTGTTAAACTTTGCAATGAATACATGGTTTATTGCACCAAAGAAATGAAATTTGAGTAATTTTAGGATTGCTTGATGTATAATGCGCGATCAAATAAAATTTATAATGGTCTTCCGTCAATTCCACTCAGAAATGTTTCTTAAATTTTCTCAAAATGTTGATAATTTCAGTGTTAAAATTGATCGATTACTTCTCTCGGCACATCATCCATCAAAATAAACTTTTCATGCTCTCAAAACATAACCATAATTTAGCCAATTGAAGGAATCGTTTTAAATATTTTTTTTCTCGGAAAGAATGTAATTCACAGCACGACGTTTGATGACAACGATATGATTAAAGTGAAGGCATGACTATGTTTGTCGGACAAGGACACACGTTCTTGCTCTTTGTTGCCATTAGGGCATGAAAGTGATTGCAGACTACACAGATAAACAGATTACACAGATAAGCCATCTGCCTAAATTGTGTAAATTTTATTTCTTTTTCTTTCTTAAGGAGTATAAACATTGAAGTAAAGCTGTAATTTAGTTTTATAGTCTTATTTGTCTTGTGAAATATTATACGATAAAACTATTATTTCATCCATTAATTTACTCGAATATTCAAATTGTATTTAATATATATTTTATATTTTTCATATATATATTTTTTTTTTTCCAAAATATTTTACACATATTTTCANTTGTAGAATGAATCTTTGAATGCAACAATCAAATATTAAAAGAGGCTATACTTGTGTATACCATTGCTTAAATTCTATTTTAAAAATTCTATTAACATAATTCATTAATTTAATTTTTTTTAAATGTATTAAAATATAAATAATGTAATTTCTAAAATGGAAATATCAAATTAACAAAGAAATGTCTATATAATTATAAAATTGTTGCAGGCCATAAAATAAAATAATTATTTTTAAACAGAAACTATTTCCTGCTTAAAAATCCAAATAAAAATTGTAAATTAAATGTTATTTCCTTATCATATACAAACATTAAACATTTAAGTAGGCTATAGAACCTGAAAGTTAACTCCTCTTAATAATATTCAGTCATTAACACTGAATACAAATAGAGAACTGGATAGTTTAGTGAGATAAGTTATGAATGATACTTACTTATGCCCTAACTCGTGAGCGATAGTGAAACCAGAAGTCAGCCCGATATCTTGGTTAATGCTACAACTTCTTCCTCGTTCGCACATGCCAGATACTTGAGCAAGACCTGCAAAAGACGTAATTGGGAAATAAATATTGACTTAGATCCTGTTTGATCTGATAATAAAACGCCTTACTCACCTAAAGTATCGCAGGGTTCGTCCTTATCAAAACATATGTCGTATCTAAGAAGTAATAAAATATTTTTTAAGCATTTAAAAACAACTTACATTAAATTCATTTTATTTCACTTTTATATTAAGTTAATTATATTTAAATAATATTGTGCCTAGTATTAAGCTAAAGGCAATCATTTTTAATCATTTGCTGACAAATTTACATTCAATTTTTAAAATGCCATCCAAAGTTTTATAATTAACATCACCTCTTGAAACCTATTATTGAAATTCTTCAGGCTATTATTTTAATAGACTCTAATGTTATACTTATTTTTTAAATATAAATATTTTTTAATGTTAGTATTAGTTATGAAGTAATGCAGATCATAACTTTACTTGATACCAAAATAATAATTTAAGATCTTGATACAAAAGAAAACTAAGAACTAAGCTTCCTAGAAGCAAATTCTTTGTGATTTACATAATGGTTTTAGTTAAAAAACTAAATATTAAAATGAAAAACTTATTAATTAATATTGCATTAAGTTTATTAGAAATGTAACTTAATTTTATCCCTAAACAAATGAATAAAATATTGAAGATTAAGCTATTTAATAAAAGAATTACATGTCATTGGCATTTCTAATTTAACCAATGAAAAGAGATCAATTAAATAACTACATTGATTATTTTTGTCATGGATAATATAAAAAAAGGAAACAAAAAAAAGCTATTTTAGCATCTAGTCTTTTATTATTGTATAAAAAACATTAACTACAACTGTCATAGCAAAGTGATAAGGCATATTCAACCTATAAGCAAATCCATTAATACAGAGTTGTGTCATAGTTCACTTTAGGTCAAAACTAATTTTCCTTATCTCGTATCATTTATAAAATAGACCTATCAAGATCCGTTTTAAGGAAATATATTTCATCCTATACATCATTTTAATGATCACGACATGTTTATTTTTATTAACGCTCTGCTAAGTTTCAATTTATATTATTTTATTAGTAAAATCTTCGTACCAATTTAAGTTTTCTTTTTGATTTTTCTCGTTTAACATATTGAATTATATTTTTACATTTAACTTTTACATTTAGTTATTTAATAAAATTTTTTAAAATTAACTTATGAGCTTCTATATAACTTCAGTTATCATGTTACAAGTATTAAGATAAATTATAGTTTTTATCAATTTATCAAGTTTATAAAAAGAATTCAGTCCTAATTCTTGAATTTTCAATTATTTATTATTTTAAATTTTTACCAAATATATAATTATCCTGTTTTTAAAAATTTCCAATTTCGTCAGATTCATTTAAAGCTAACATCCATATTAATTTCGCATAGAAAATTTAACTCGCATTATAACGTTAGTAGGTGTAGCATATGAAATTTCAGCTGTCCATAAATCTATTTTTATTATTATAAGTGAGGAAAGTATTTTTATGAGCATGTATGCTATTTATCTTTCGATACGGAATGTTTAAATCTAGAATTTTGAGTGTTTTATTTATGATTTGGCTTAAATCACAAATCAGAATATATTATTTTATACTTTGAAAACAAAGCGAAAATTACATTTTTAATTATAATTTGTAAATTGAAAGGTTTATGAACATTTATTATAAAGTTCAATATATATAATCGTAATTTTTTAAGCCCCATAATATCCTACCGCGCGATTGCACTACCAGATCCTAAAATTTAACGTTTTCATCTCGAAAACCTTGAAGAAGTTTTTAGTCTTCCCCAGATTTAAAGTAAATGTTACATAATAAATAAAAAATTATGACATAGAAATAATTATATAATAAACACTTTAAATAATGCTGTATGTGTACAGTATCTTGGCTACCACCAATAAGTCAATACAGGTACACTATAGTACTGTATTCAATGTAGTAAGCTGACCATTACATTTACAATCCAACAGGGACACGTTTGAGAATCAGTGAAAATGAGGTCTAAAACTGATTAAACTTTGGTTATTATTTAAAATTTATTTATTTATTGATCTATAAATTGGTAATATTATATTAAAGTGTTAATGAAATTGCTCTATTCAAAGATTAATTCTACAATCAAATATTAAAAATATGCAAAAAAAGGGGACAGTCCCTGAAAATCGAGGACTTCTGGTCACATAATGTACGGTATTTATAAACTATGATGTTCGCACAACGTCCAAATCATAAAACGTCCTATTTTACAGAACATACAGTGGACGTTAAACTATTAAATAACCGTATTTAAAATTTAATAAGAGATTAAATAAAAAGTTTACGAACATTTATAAACTTTTTACTGAATATTTAATACTTGACATTAATTAATATAATAAATTTAATTTGATTAGTTAGATAACAACTAAAGAAGAAAAGCAGCCTTTTAGTAAGAGATTGAAAATAATTAATACTCTTATGATTAAAAAGGAAACAATGTTTAAAATAATTTAAAAATTAAAATACATATATTTTTTGTCTAATTTTATTCTTGTAAATATTTCTAATAATTACAATATATAATTAAAATTCCGTTCAATTTTTGATATTCGTAGAACACAGAAAATATTAAACTCTTGAAGTTGGGCGGAATCGAAATTGAGAGAAAATTAGATGATAAAAACGATCAATTTTCTTTTATATTATATTATAACTTCTTTACAGCTTATAAAATATAATCTCTAGTAAATGAAACTTCTATCGAATAGCCTGAAGTAATTTATCCATTCGTTTAATCACATTTGTGTTCTAAGAACTAAACTGGTTAATCTGGATATTGGATTTTTAAAATGAAGATTATACTAGAAACAATTTTCTCCCCTTTATTATTGCTAGTTTTACCGAAAATGAAAGTACCACATGGAGTGGATAACACTTATTGAACTTGTTTAAATTCGAAATGAGGTGGGAAAATTATGGAAGATGAAGCACTCTTGATTTATAGTATTGTCGGGCAAAGCTCTTTCAAGTGGTTTAAAAACACTTGTAGTTGGTTTTGTATCGAGTAGAAATTATCTTGACCTCAAACAGACATATTCCAAGTTGTGTTATTTTTTCTTTTCTTTCTTTTTTGTTTTTGTTACGAGACAGTTTGCAATATTATCTTGACATCTCACGACAACACATCACCGAGACATTCATCGGATATGTTTGGCATTACTGACGGGTCAGAGGTAAAGGTCGGCGACCTTCGTCTGTCGTCTACTTCCGAAGGTCATCTAGAACAGACACCTGACTCGTTTCAATTGCATTTCTTCTCTAAGTTACTCCTGAATTATTTTGCAGACAAATCCTTAAAATCTTGATAAATATACAAAATACGAATCGTAGTTTCAACAAAATTAAAAATTCGTAATTAAGATTTTGTTAACTTCAACCTCCGTCAAGAATGAAATGGAAGAAATTAATTAAATCAGTAGAAAATATACACAAAGATGCTTATCGATATGGAGAAAGCTAATTAGCCAAATTTTTATTTACAAGTTAAAAGATAAAGTTTATGATATCGTGTGACCTTTTCAAATGTCAAAGAATTACGTCGAGCAGCATACTTAATTACATTCCCACTTAATCCCACATCTCGTGTAGTTAAGTAAAACAGTCACACAACGTTCATCCAGTTAAATTAAGCAGCCTGTTTTCTTAAGTGAACAAACTGACAATAATGAAATTCGTCTGAGCTGTAAAATAACAGTAGGCGTAAATATTTCTACAGTACTGAAAGTTGTCTTACTGCTTTAAAAACAACAGCAACAGTTTTTTACTTAAAAATTTACAATTTCTTTCTAATGTATCTTAATTGTTTTAAATATATTATTGGATTTTTAAATAGCATTATTCTCAACATTAATATATTATTTCGGACTTTTTCGGTAATATCTTACTGCTTGTAAGATTTCTTGTAATAAATATATACCCACATTTATTTAATAAAAATATTTCCATATGAATACCTCCCAAATCGACAAATTATCTATTACAATATTTATTATTGTAATACTTATGTGATTTTAACATTGTCCGAAGTTTAAAATAATCTTTAAAAGTGTTTAGAATTAAGATACTTTTCTACAATTTTCAAATTGTTATAAGCAATAATATAAATTATTGTTATTTTATGACAATGAAACACATAACAAGTATCAAAGGTACAGTCGGTGGCGCGTTATAGTTCGTGGGGGCTGAGGCAAATTTAAATTAGTGGTCCCGTGTACAGTGTTGACTTCAGACATTTTTCTTCGGGGGAATCTCCCTATATCCTCGTTAGTTTTTGACATGACCTCTGGAGGGTTTCAAGTTCTGTGCTGTGCCACATCGGCAATCTAGGATTCTAGGTATGGCCCAAATTTAAATTTCGATATTCTTTCTACAGTAATGATAAAAGATTGGTTTGGGCCTCCTATTGGTGGGGGCTCCAAACCAATTGCCACTTTTGCCCATAGTATAATGCGCCAATGGGTACAGTTAAATTTAATTCGTGAGTTCAATAGTATACTCATACCATGAAATTATTTTAAAATTTTTAACAAAATTATATACTTAAAAATCATGCATTTAAATTATCTTAACTATGATACTAAAATATTTCTGAGTATGTTCAGTTCTGTATTTAGTTTTCAAAGTAAAATTTTCAAAATATACATAAATTACATAAGTAACTTCATAGTAAATTAGAAAAATATGATGGTGATAAAGGAGAAAAATACATAATTATTTTAATAAATAAAATAAAATTATTATATTGCTTATAACTTCTATTTTAAAGTTTCTTTTTTATTTTTAAAAATCAACATTTTTTTTATTATTATATGTAAAAGAGATTAGAATTATGTAAAGTTAAACTTAATAATTTGAGATTCTAAATTTAGAATGGTGTCAAACAATTTTGATTACATGTAATAACAGTAGCGGAAATAGAAAAATTAATGTAATTAAATTTAAAAGAATAAAAAGCACATTGACCAGACTTCAATTAAATTATTAATATTAATGAGATTGTCTGTCAACTATAATAAATATTAAAACAGCTTTATGAAATGTTTAAAAACAGGCCTAATATTATATTTTAAATGATTTTTGTCAATTTGGAAGATGTATAACAAGCAATCTGTTTGAAAAGTAATTATATGAATTATCACTTGATGTTTTAACTGTAAATATGAATAAATTAATATTAATTCATATTTCAATGATATAAAGTAAATAAATAANACGATATGATTAAAGTGAAGGCATGACTATGTTTGTCGGACAAGGACACACGTTCTTGCTCTTTGTTGCCATTAGGGCATGAAAGTGATTGCAGACTACACAGATAAACAGATTACACAGATAAGCCATCTGCCTAAATTGTGTAAATTTTATTTCTTTTTCTTTCTTAAGGAGTATAAACATTGAAGTAAAGCTGTAATTTAGTTTTATAGTCTTATTTGTCTTGTGAAATATTATACGATAAAACTATTATTTCATCCATTAATTTACTCGAATATTCAAATTGTATTTAATATATATTTTATATTTTTCATATATATATTTTTTTTTTTCCAAAATATTTTACACATATTTTCAAAATTTAAATATGTTTACACATTATTTCAATTGTTTTAGTTAGCAGAATATGTGAGATTATGTGAGGCTATACTTGTGTATACCATTGCTTAAATTCTATTTTAAAAATTCTATTAACATAATTCATTAATTTAATTTTTTTTAAATGTATTAAAATATAAATAATGTAATTTCTAAAATGGAAATATCAAATTAACAAAGAAATGTCTATATAATTATAAAATTGTTGCAGGCCATAAAATAAAATAATTATTTTTAAACAGAAACTATTTCCTGCTTAAAAATCCAAATAAAAATTGTAAATTAAATGTTATTTCCTTATCATATACAAACATTAAACATTTAAGTAGGCTATAGAACCTGAAAGTTAACTCCTCTTAATAATATTCAGTCATTAACACTGAATACAAATAGAGAACTGGATAGTTTAGTGAGATAAGTTATGAATGATACTTACTTATGCCCTAACTCGTGAGCGATAGTGAAACCAGAAGTCAGCCCGATATCTTGGTTAATGCTACAACTTCTTCCTCGTTCGCACATGCCAGATACTTGAGCAAGACCTGCAAAAGACGTAATTGGGAAATAAATATTGACTTAGATCCTGTTTGATCTGATAATAAAACGCCTTACTCACCTAAAGTATCGCAGGGTTCGTCCTTATCAAAACATATGTCGTATCTAAGAAGTAATAAAATATTTTTTAAGCATTTAAAAACAACTTACATTAAATTCATTTTATTTCACTTTTATATTAAGTTAATTATATTTAAATAATATCGTGCCTAGTATTAAGCTAAAGGCAATCATTTTTAATCATTTGCTGACAAATTTACATTCAATTTTTAAAATGCCATCCAAAGTTTTATAATTAACATCACCTCTTGAAACCTATTATTGAAATTCTTCAGGCTATTATTTTAATAGACTCTAATGTTATACTTATTTTTTAAATATAAATATTTTTTAATGTTAGTATTAGTTATGAAGTAATGCAGATCATAACTTTACTTGATACCAAAATAATAATTTAAGATCTTGATACAAAAGAAAACTAAGAACTAAGCTTCCTAGAAGCAAATTCTTTGTGATTTACATAATGGTTTTAGTTAAAAAACTAAATATTAAAATGAAAAACTTATTAATTAATATTGCATTAAGTTTATTAGAAATGTAACTTAATTTTATCCCTAAACAAATGAATAAAATATTGAAGATTAAGCTATTTAATAAAAGAATTACATGTCATTGGCATTTCTAATTTAACCAATGAAAAGAGATCAATTAAATAACTACATTGATTATTTTTGTCATGGATAATATAAAAAAAGGAAACAAAAAAAAGCTATTTTAGCATCTAGTCTTTTATTATTGTATAAAAAACATTAACTACAACTGTCATAGCAAAGTGATAAGGCATATTCAACCTATAAGCAAATCCATTAATACAGAGTTGTGTCATAGTTCACTTTAGGTCAAAACTAATTTTCCTTATCTCGTATCATTTATAAAATAGACCTATCAAGATCCGTTTTAAGGAAATATATTTCATCCTATACATCATTTTAATGATCACGACATGTTTATTTTTATTAACGCTCTGCTAAGTTTCAATTTATATTATTTTATTAGTAAAATCTTCGTACCAATTTAAGTTTTCTTTTTGATTTTTCTCGTTTAACATACTGAATTATATTTTTACATTTAACTTTTACATTTAGTTATTTAATAAAATTTTTTAAAATTAACTTATGAGCTTCTATATAACTTCAGTTATCATGTTACAAGTATTAAGATAAATTATAGTTTTTATCAATTTATCAAGTTTATAAAAAGAATTCAGTCCTAATTCTTGAATTTTCAATTATTTATTATTTTAAATTTTTACCAAATATATAATTATCCTGTTTTTAGAAATTTCCAATTTCGTCAGATTCATTTAAAGCTAACATCCATATTAATTTCGCATAGAAAATTTAACTCGCATTGTAACGTTAGTAGGTGTAGCATATGAAATTTCAGCTGTCCATAAATCTACTTTTTATTATTATAAGTGAGGAAAGTATTTTTATGAGCATGTATGCTATTTATCTTTCGATACGGAATGTTTAAATCTAGAATTTTGAGTGTTTTATTTATGATTTGGCTTAAATCACAAATCAGAATATATTATTTTATACTTTGAAAACAAAGCGAAAATTACATTTTTAATTATAATTTGTAAATTGAAAGGTTTATGAACATTTATTATAAAGCTCAATATATATAATCGTAATTTTTTAAGCCCCATAATATCCTACCGCGCGATTGCACTACCAGATCCTAAAATTTAACGTTTTCATCTCGAAAACCTTGAAGAAGTTTTTAGTCTTCCCCAGATTTAAAGTAAATGTTACATAATAAATAAAAAATTATGACATAGAAATAATTATATAATAAACACTTTAAATAATGCTGTATGTGTACAGTATCTTGGCTACCACCAATAAGTCAATACAGGTACACTATAGTACTGTATTCAATGTAGTAAGCTGACCATTACATTTACAATCCAACAGGGACACGTTTGAGAATCAGTGAAAATGAGGTCTAAAACTGATTAAACTTTGGTTATTATTTAAAATTTATTTATTTATTGATCTATAAATTGGTAATATTATATTAAAGTGTTAATGAAATTGCTCTATTCAAAGATTAATTCTACAATCAAATATTAAAAATATGCAAAAAAAGGGGACAGTCCCTGAAAATCGAGGACTTCTGGTCACATAATGTACGGTATTTATAAACTATGATGTTCGCACAACGTCCAAATCATAAAACGTCCTATTTTACAGAACATACAGTGGACGTTAAACTATTAAATAACCGTATTTAAAATTTAATAAGAGATTAAATAAAAAGTTTACGAACATTTATAAACTTTTTACTGAATATTTAATACTTGACATTAATTAATATAATAAATTTAATTTGATTAGTTAGATAACAACTAAAGAAGAAAAGCAGCCTTTTAGTAAGAGATTGAAAATAATTAATACTCTTATGATTAAAAAGGAAACAATGTTTAAAATAATTTAAAAATTAAAATACATATATTTTTTGTCTAATTTTATTCTTGTAAATATTTCTAATAATTACAATATATAATTAAAATTCCGTTCAATTTTTGATATTCGTAGAACACAGAAAATATTAAACTCTTGAAGTTGGGCGGAATCGAAATTGAGAGAAAATTAGATGATAAAAACGATCAATTTTCTTTTATATTATATTATAACTTCTTTACAGCTTATAAAATATAATCTCTAGTAAATGAAACTTCTATCGAATAGCCTGAAGTAATTTATCCATTCGTTTAATCACATTTGTGTTCTAAGAACTAAACTGGTTAATCTGGATATTGGATTTTTAAAATGAAGATTATACTAGAAACAATTTTCTCCCCTTTATTATTGCTAGTTTTACCGAAAATGAAAGTACCACATGGAGTGGATAACACTTATTGAACTTGTTTAAATTCGAAATGAGGTGGGAAAATTATGGAAGATGAAGCACTCTTGATTTATAGTATTGTCGGGCAAAGCTCTTTCAAGTGGTTTAAAAACACTTGTAGTTGGTTTTGTATCGAGTAGAAATTATCTTGACCTCAAACAGACATATTCCAAGTTGTGTTATTTTTTCTTTTCTTTCTTTTTTGTTTTTGTTACGAGACAGTTTGCAATATTATCTTGACATCTCACGACAACACATCACCGAGACATTCATCGGATATGTTTGGCATTACTGACGGGTCAGAGGTAAAGGTCGGCGACCTTCGTCTGTCGTCTACTTCCGAAGGTCATCTAGAACAGACACCTGACTCGTTTCAATTGCATTTCTTCTCTAAGTTACTCCTGAATTATTTTGCAGACAAATCCTTAAAATCTTGATAAATATACAAAATACGAATCGTAGTTTCAACAAAATTAAAAATTCGTAATTAAGATTTTGTTAACTTCAACCTCCGTCAAGAATGAAATGGAAGAAATTAATTAAATCAGTAGAAAATATACACAAAGATGCTTATCGATATGGAGAAAGCTAATTAGCCAAATTTTTATTTACAAGTTAAAAGATAAAGTTTATGATATCGTGTGACCTTTTCAAATGTCAAAGAATTACGTCGAGCAGCATACTTAATTACATTCCCACTTAATCCCACATCTCGTGTAGTTAAGTAAAACAGTCACACAACGTTCATCCAGTTAAATTAAGCAGCCTGTTTTCTTAAGTGAACAAACTGACAATAATGAAATTCGTCTGAGCTGTAAAATAACAGTAGGCGTAAATATTTCTACAGTACTGAAAGTTGTCTTACTGCTTTAAAAACAACAGCAACAGTTTTTTACTTAAAAATTTACAATTTCTTTCTAATGTATCTTAATTGTTTTAAATATATTATTGGATTTTTAAATAGCATTATTCTCAACATTAATATATTATTTCGGACTTTTTCGGTAATATCTTACTGCTTGTAAGATTTCTTGTAATAAATATATACCCACATTTATTTAATAAAAATATTTCCATATGAATACCTCCCAAATCGACAAATTATCTATTACAATATTTATTATTGTAATACTTATGTGATTTTAACATTGTCCGAAGTTTAAAATAATCTTTAAAAGTGTTTAGAATTAAGATACTTTTCTACAATTTTCAAATTGTTATAAGCAATAATATAAATTATTGTTATTTTATGACAATGAAACACATAACAAGTATCAAAGGTACAGTCGGTGGCGCGTTATAGTTCGTGGGGGCTGAGGCAAATTTAAATTAGTGGTCCCGTGTACAGTGTTGACTTCAGACATTTTTCTTCGGGGGAATCTCCCTATATCCTCGTTAGTTTTTGACATGACCTCTGGAGGGTTTCAAGTTCTGTGCTGTGCCACATCGGCAATCTAGGATTCTAGGTATGGCCCAAATTTAAATTTCGATATTCTTTCTACAGTAATGATAAAAGATTGGTTTGGGCCTCCTATTGGTGGGGGCTCCAAACCAATTGCCATTTTTGCCCATAGTATAATGCGCCAATGGGTACAGTTAAATTTAATGCGTGAGTTCAATAGTATACTCATACCATGAAATTATTTTAAAATTTTTAACAAAATTATATACTTAAAAATCATGCATTTAAATTATCTTAACTATGATACTAAAATATTTCTGAGTATGTTCAGTTCTGTATTTAGTTTTCAAAGTAAAATTTTCAAAATATACATAAATTACATAAGTAACTTCATAGTAAATTAGAAAAATATGATGATGATAAAGGAGAAAAATACATAATTATTTTAATAAATAAAATAAAATTATTATATTGCTTATAACTTCTATTTTAAAGTTTCTTTTTTATTTTTAAAAATCAACATTTTTTTTATTATTATATGTAAAAGAGATTAGAATTATGTAAAGTTAAACTTAATAATTTGAGATTCTAAATTTAGAATGGTGTCAAACAATTTTGATTACATGTAATAACAGTAGCGGAAATAGAAAAATTAATGTAATTAAATTTAAAAGAATAAAAAGCACATTGACCAGACTTCAATTAAATTATTAATATTAATGAGATTGTCTGTCAACTATAATAAATATTAAAACAGCTTTATGAAATGTTTAAAAACAGGCCTAATATTATATTTTAAATGATTTTTGTCAATTTGGAAGATGTATAACAAGCAATCTGTTTGAAAAGTAATTATATGAATTATCATTTGATGTTTTAACTGTAAATATGAATAAATTAATATTAATTCATATTTCAATGATATAAAGTAAATAAATAAAAATTTATAATAAAATATTTGGGTTTTGATTAATTTATTTTACATGCTGCTTAATACCTCCATTAATTTTAAGAGATTTATTTCTATTGATATGGAAGTTATAAATAAAATACTTTGTCAATGGAAGTTAAATCTCTTTGGAATACGTGTACTTAAGCTAAAATTATTAATTTTTTAAAATAAATTTGTTTGGGTGTAATAGAGAACAGGTATTTCTTTATTCGCATAATAAGATTCTGCATTTAAATGCTGTAAAGCAATTTCAATTAATTCTTCTTTGGCGTAGTTTATATGATACTAAAGTATAAACTGCGATATTCTAGTAAATAATAAAGAATGTAGTAGTATCATTCTTTAATATTAATCGCTTTAAAAATATTTTTCATTGTTATAGTCGACTTTATTATAATCCTTTCATGCTATAAGGACAAAATCTCCTTTCTAGACTACAAATTAATGTATGAAAGGCGTACGGTTTGATTAACCTTATCTCTGAAAAAGTGACTTCTGAAATAGGGATAAAAATCTGGCAAGCGTAACAAATTCACACTAAATGAATTCACTTTAGAAAAATGACAGTAGATAATTTATTAATGGCCCTGTTAATGCTAAGTTATGAAATGCAAAAGATAAAAGAAAAAAATACAAGTCCGTAAAGAGTCAGAAATTCTAATTAACTTAATTACACGAGAGTAATGTATCCAAGCCGACGACCGCCAATCCTACTTGTAATGAGCTCGTTATGGCTTTTTAGATGTTCATTTAACCTTATAATTTACCATTGATATATAACTCAACTCAATTACTTTTCTTAAAGCTATTTGTGAACGTAGTAGTGGTTTCGCTCACCAGATTTACATCCGTTTTTCAAGACAATTTACTAATGACAAATTACGAATGATTTGATTGAATCCTCAAGTAACCATTACCTACATTTAACTCTTTGTAGACTCATAGATTATATTATGTTTTGCATAATTTCTGTATTATAATTTATATATTTCCTTTATTTTTATATAATTCTTCTGTAATTTTTGTTTTATAATTTTTTTATATTTTTGTAAAACGACGTTTCAACTCAAGATCTTCATGCGTTGAAAAAACGTAAACTTTCCAGATGAAAGTTTATAATTTATTTCAGCCGATTTAAAAAGTAAATACATTAATGAATTAAAGCTTAAATATTAAATACAATAAAGTTCTATTCATTTATAAAATAAAAATTAAACAAGTAAAAGTATAACGAATGCAAAATGTAATGAAAAATTATGCAAATATATTTATGACAGAATAATTTATCTTTCTAAAGAAAAATTTGGATGTATATAAAAATATACGATCGATCAAAATCAATTAAAATCAATCTAAATATTTTTTTTGGAAAAGTATGAGTGATCGTGTTCAATCGGATTTTTTTCGATGATATTCGTAGGCTTCATCATATTAATACAGAGTAATTCATAACAAATATATAGCTTACAGCGAGTTATAAAAATCAATAGAATTTAAATATAATTGTAACTTCCATAAAAGCTTACACGAATTTAAAAATATATATATTCAAAATTCATTATACTACGTAATTACGGCATCGCTTTGAATTTAAGACGCATCGATTCACAAGAAAAATGATAATAAGAAGTAACTGCAGTTTAAAAGAATTTATAAAAGGGTAGACATATTAATAATATATTTAATGTAAGGTATAATCAATAGAAAATAACATTATATATAGGCTTTCAAGAGTGACAGAGTAATTCGTATCGAAGACATAATGTATGACCCCAAACAAAATGACATATATCTAACAAATATGTTATTGGAAATACTTTATTATGTATAAAGATATAAAAATAATTAATATAATTAAATATTACCTGGTTATAAGAATAGCATTATCGTGATGATTATGCGAATAAGATAGTATAGCATTTTCATTACGTTTGATAGATTCTTGCCACTTACAGAAACTGCTCAACGTTTGTCCAGCGTGATGAGATATCAAGAGATTTGGCTGCCAATAAAATGTTTATACATTATACTTACGTTTAAACTTTAAACAGCTTAATAAATACTTTATTGATTAATAAATTAATTACAATTACCTGTTTCTCCTTCAAAAGAATAATCCTGTTTACAATGATATTGACAGCATTTCCTAAACTAGGATCTCGAAACAGCTTGGCAACCTGACCTCCAAAGAAACAAATATCACTATCATTTTTGCTTACAGGATAATTTAAAATATTTTATCATTAAATTATAAAGATTAATTCGAAATTCTATAAAAAAAAATTTTTTTTCTTTAATATTTTGACAAGTATTTTTGAAATAATTACTGTATAATAGATGGCCATTATTTTGACCATTTTGTTAATGCTAATCTTGGGACAATAACCTCTGAAATAAGTGAATTAAAATAGATATCTAAGTGCGAAATAATTATAATTAATGTAAATAATTTTAATTCACAATTCTAAGTAAGTAAATGTTCTTAATTCTCTATTTAATTATGGAAAATTCTTAGAAGAATAATTTTAATGGCACAGTTACTACTTAATGAAAAGTAAAATATTTTCTTAGGTTGTTGAACGAATAACTATTTACGAAATTAGTTTTTATAATTATTCACAGGTGGCGCTAACAGTTGATATATACCCTCTAATATTTTCGTAAGATTTTTTTTTTTCGTTTTGTTTTTATAAGGGCGGATCCACTGTAATTGGGTAATTACCTTCTCTTATAGATTTATATCGGTAGGTAAAAATCCCTAAAAAAAAGCTGAAAGTGCCTAATTTTATTATCATTTTATTATTATTTTTTTTGTCTCAAACGATTTAATTTTTACGTACTTAGTTTTTTGAAATATTTTCTCAAACTATATATTCAAAGGTTAAAAAAAAAAACAGGATGTAACCGTGCGTTTTTGCACCTATAAATGTTCCTAACATTAAATACTGTAAAGATATATAAATGATTAATTCGTAATATAAAAATTTTTAAGGTGAATTTAGTTAAAATAAAAATTAATATTCCCAAACAATTCGGTAGCACATGATTCATTTGGGGGTTACTGAACGTAATAAATTATTATAAACATAGAACTAATTGTATAAATTAAAACATGTTCGGAGTCTTGTCCGAACAGTTTGTTATCTTCTCAATTTTCCAGCAAGATTAGCAAATAAACATACATCATTACATGTAATGCATGATAAGCATCGGGTGAAAGAGACATGTAGGAAAAAGTAAAGGATATTTATAATTTATTTCGGTTATTTTGAAACGACCTTGGCAACTCTTCGACTTGGCGAAGATTAAACGATAAGTAGCAGCAGAAATAAGCATTTTAAAATCAACAATTACAATATTCATAATAGTTAGTATGTAGGTTTCGATCTCTTCTTCTCCGTGATAAGCAACAGCTTTCTTGTCAGCTACTACTAAAGTCTCAACGTATCTCTCCGTTATCACCGATCTTTTTCTCCTCTTTACTCTTCTCCTCCTGATTCTCTTCTCACTCGAACATCCCTTCGAATCACCTATTTAAGAAAATATATTCAACAATGAAGTTATTCACAACATAAATCCCATATTCAATGAGTTAAAAGATTATAAATCTAATACTGTTATAAACAATAACAATATTAAGCTTAGTATTTAATAATAAAAAGTACTGATGACAGACATTTTGAAATTTGATAATCTTATATCTACTTTAAAGATTGACAGATCAGATATGACTAAGCTTAGCTTTTTAAAAACTCTTCAAAATTGTCATGAAGAATTTTAGATTTTTACTTAAAGCAAATCTCTTTCTTCAACTAAAAAAAAATCTCTCTTAAATTGAATAAATTTCATTAATTCTGCTTTTTTTTCATTTATATAATTTATTATAAAATTATT